AAAATCTTCTTTCGTAACTAGTTATGAAAAACAGTTACGAAGATGGATCCTTATGATCTTGATTGTGCAAACAGATAAATGCTACTTGGACGTTGATGAACTCGTAAGGTGTAAAAAAATCCGTGTGGACTCCTATACAATCTAACTCTCTAGCTAGTGAAATGCACATGGGAATTGTCAACTTATGTCTCAGGGTGACGGGCGCAGTGGTAGTGCCCCTGAGATCTTTGCAACTTAAACCTCGGAGTGGCACTGTAACCGTTATAGACAGGCGTGTAGCTTACCATCAGGCGCACGACTTGTTCATCCGTCACTAGATGTTATAATAACAAAAAAAAACTCGTACGAGCGCTCTCGGTCCGAGGGCACTCGTGTAGTGAAAGCCCGACTTTAGAGATATCTATTTAAATATTTTTGTACGAAAGCAAAAGCTAATCGATTATTAAACGTCATGGAACGAAAGTTGTTGTTTATGATGAAAGTAATATAGTCCGAGGTAGTTAGTATTTTACAAATAGCCCTGTATATGAATTATTATATAATATAATACGAATTTCGAATCGTTGCGCAAGATCTATTATGCTTTCGTGTGAGACACACGAAAGAGAAAAGAGATTGAACGGAAAAAAATACCCCAACAGAGTGATGGACTGGCCAATTTGTACCTTAACCGCTCGAGCATTAAGCGTTTCTTCAAGACGCAGCGCCTGCGCGTACAAGCAAGATGATTCGCGCGAATTTGAACGCTATCTAGGAGAAAGAAGGTCTACCATCATCGACAGACGATAGACACTTATGCGACGCCATTATGACTCGATTTTCCTATAAATTACACTTACATGAAGCTGGTATTACAATTATTATCAATGTTTATATCAGTGTAAAATGTTTCGACAATATGGTGATAGTTAAAATTAATTATTGACTATTTTGACGGACTTGGTGGCCCTACGATTTGTACTGAGGGCGTTGGATGAGGAGGTCCCGGGTTCGATTCCCGGTAGGACCAATTAGGAAAATAAACTTTTCTAGATTTGTTTTGGTCTGAGTGTTCCGGTGTGAATTCCGTTGTTCTGTATATAATACTAAGTGACGGCACAATAAAGTCGCATGCTTGGTAGTAAGCTACACGCCTGTCCATAACAGTTGCAGTGCCACTCAGAGCTTTAAGTCGTAAAAATCTTAGGGGCACTGCCACTGCCTCTAAGATTTTTACGATTAAATATATGCAGCAATTTGCGATAGATTTGATTATTTTCGTTGCCTAATGACTGCTAATATTACTATGTTTAATATATTACTAAAAATAATAGTTTTTGTGAATATAAACCTAAAACTTTTTTCAGGAGGAACGTCGCCGTTTGGGATTGCAATCAGCTCAGTATACGAGCATCTGGCATCTTTTCCCCTGGGTTCTCAACGTGGCTCGTGAACCAGATGAATCAAGTTTCTGTATAAGCCTAGAAGAGGGTCGGTAAACTAACTTGACTGATTTTTTTGAGGAAATTGGTATCTTATATACGAGTATTACGACTCGTTTTAAAATGTTGTATTTCATTCATTAATATTTTAAATTTTTTAGCGATCAAAAGTGGATAATTACTTTATAGGTTTGTATTTCTATGTCTTTACATTTTTGTATTTTATTATGAGTACTTACTATATTATAAAAAAAATTATACCTACCCGTTTACACAAACTATTTTATTTTTACCTTTTTGACTGTAGCGCTGTTAGACTGGGAAATGTGTTAGAAATAATATTAAACAAAATAAAATATAGATAAATTTTATTTACTTGTTCTAGCCTTAACTACAGTTTAATTGATATAGAGTGCATATTTTATTAAACATACTTTAATAACAATGTTCATGGTACGCACGAGCATTAGTTTATAATTTCCAGTATTAGAGCGGCTCCGAATTAGACGCTTATACAAGCGTTGCAATGGCGCTACTACTAATTTTCATACAATATTTAGAAACGCAGTTGCTTCCAAAAAGTAACGGGTATACAGTCATCACCTCTGGTGGCTAACGTAGGAAATATTTTTTCCCCGTACATACACATATCGATAAGTCATTTTTATCTACTGGGTTCCTGGGTACATGATTTTTTAAACATGTTTTGAAGTAAATCGCTGTCTTTGCAAAATGTATTGCGAGTTCTGAAAAATTGTGTAACAATTGTATGACCAATAAAAATGAGATGCAGCGCCATCTATTGATTAACGACGTTCATGTATGTGCAAAGCAAAAATGTTCACAGTGACAGGGCTCCGTCACTCGCTCAAGGTTACGCAAAAAGTGCCTACCGCTGAGTGCGCCGACGTCTGCGCAAGCACTCATACAAGTCTTTTATTTATGTGCATTCGACTCCACACGACTGTCCAAAGCGCGCAACGTTATTATAATCTCTCTGAGCGCGTGCTTAGGTCTCTTTTCCCTCGTAGTGAGCTCCTGGTGTTTTTAGTGATATTTAGTAGGCTATTATAACGTAAATTTATAGTTTAGTAGCAGTAAAGTCCTTGTGAAAGAGTTCGTCCAGGGAAGTACTGCCACCTTATCTATTTCTGCCGCCAAGCCGTAATGTCAGCATTACTGTGTTCCGGTTTTGAACGGTAAGGGTGCTGGTAAAATTACAGGCACATGATACTTGTCAACTTATGTCTCAGAGTGGTGGGCGTAGTGGTAGTGCCCCTCAGATCTTTGCGATTCAAAGCTCTGAGTGGCACTGTAACTGTTACAGACGTGTAGCTTACCATCAGGTGTACGACTTATTCGTTCCATCACTTGATATTATACAAAAAAAAGTATTTTCGATTTTGTATGAGAGTGATGTGACAATGATTAGACCGTGGTTGCTCCGCTACTGTCGTGACACGCGTGCGCCACTTTTGCAGTCACAATCAGTGAACTAAAAATTACCGAAATGTTACCGACACGCAGCTACCGCGCCACAGTCGCGGCACTGCAGACCGGTTCCACGAATACAAGTGTCTAATTTGAAGTCGCCTTAAAGTGCCACATGGCACTATTAGTGGCCATAGCAAAACTGGCTTTAAAAAGACCAATTTGTACTGGTGTTGTGTAATTCGTGTGATCGCTCCTAAATAACTTAACCTAGCCTAACCTAAATGAAACTTTTCCAAGCAAATGTATTAAAATACAGGTATACCACGTGCTCCCTAAAATAAGTACTTGATAAAGTGCTTCCACAACGAGTTCCACAAACTTTTGTGAAATTGCGTTTATTAATACACGAGTATGTTACATTAGTATAGTCATACCTAATGTGTTATCTCACATAATGTGTGATTAGGTAGTATGCAATGTGTTGCGTGTGATCATTTTTAAAATGCTTGCGACGACCGGTGTGTGGTCCTTGCAACTTTCATGAACATTTCATAGATTAAATTAAAATTATACAATATATTTGTCAGCGAATGTTTAATGACTATTTGCTAACGCTCTTTCTAAATTACCAAATCATATATATGTATATATTTTTAATTAATTCCTTACAATTTACATAATGGGGTTAGTTTAATTGCACCGCTTTTAAACTAAGGAGTTTTTATAAAGTAAGGAGGCATAAGGGTGCGTACAAACCTGACAAAAGCGCGTTACACGTGCGTTACGCGCGTGCATTTCAGTGCGAGCCACACGAACGGTACGCGAATATATCGCTGTAAGTAATGCACGTGTGCTGCTCGCGAGCTTTTCGCAAATAGGTGCATTTACCAGATCTGTGCGCACCTTAGAGCTCAAAGTACACAAGACCTTACTATTTATATCATCAATACACAAATAAAAGTATCCCGTAACGAAATTGGAGTATGTTAAACTACTTGCTGTAGAAGCCCACGTAACTTCAAATATTAGCTACCTTTACTCGCAGATTGGTACAAATAGTATTATTGGTACCATTCCACTTTGAAAAAATTAACATTATTTATATTATATATACAGTACACCTACTGTACGTCAATTAAAGATTACGTTAAGTACCTAACTACAGGTGAAGCTACTGCAAATTAATTATATATTAATTAGAATTCTTTTTTGTGTGACCATACAGTACGCGACCCTTTGTAATACACAATAGAAATACATATTATTATACAATATGTATTCCACAAAAATGTCAATCAAAGTACTTCTTATTCATAACATCTTGTATCCAATCCACATATCCCGCGGTTCGTGTATAAATTCCATATTTCCCTCTCTTGCCGCACCCGTCGCCGAAGCTGGTAATGCCCTGCCAACACCAGAGAAATGTGATTACTTTTCGGTAAATAAAAACAAAATAGCATGTGATTTTCAATATCTATCAACGTCTTGTGCTCGTGTACGATTGTAAATGGTAGTAAAAACATTTTTATTAAGAAACAAACATAGGTATAAAAAAAGGCGATAATATAATATATAATTAACGCAATCTAAAAGGCCCGTTTTGACACCAGTCTTCGCATCGTAACAAGGGAGTCTAAGGGTCGTATTCTAGAACTCTACTCAATGCTCAAGTCAGGATTGCACTGGAAACATAAGCACTGGAAATACGACCCTAATGGCAGGGACTTGAGTATGATTTCGAGTGCTTTAAACCATACTCAAATCCTGACTTGAGCATTGAGTAGAGTTCTAGAATACGACCCTAAGATCTGATAGTATGACTTAAACGCCTCAGCTTATCCCTTAGACTAATCCTCTAAGGCTTATCCCGAAGGACGAAAAAGATGACTACTGCCTAACTAGAGACGTGAACCAAACAAATCGTTGACCAGATTTACCCACTTCTCAAGAGAAATCGATTGCAAATTTTATTAGTTTGTTATTTTCAAACTTTTATTGTTTTGTGTTTAAATTATTTTTAGATTCATTGATTATAAATTCTAGGTAGAACCAAATGTAATGTATAAACTTAAGCATTATAAATATTAATAAAATAATAAATCAAAGTGATAACAAACTGAAACCATTTCTCACCTACCTTACTCTACAATCAACCTAATAAGGTTGATTGTGCAACCTAATAAGGTTGATTGTGCAGTAAGGTAGGTGGGATATCGTAATTCAATTACAATTTAAAGAATCTTATGCCTACTCAACAATATGTAATCCAGTGACATATTAAAAATTCAGGTTGCTTCGACACAGTTCAAAGAAATATTTACTAAAAACAAACTAGCACAAAGTCGACTTCCAAAATGTCGAAATCAGTATAACCAATTCAAAATTGGAAAGAACTATAAAAAATGAAACCTGGCTTTAATACTCTAAGAACTGAGCACTTAATACTTATAAATTGTGAAAGAGTTCGTCCAGGGAAGTACCTTACCTATTTCTGCCGCCAATCAGTAATATGAACATTACTTAGTTCCGGTTTTGAAGGGTAAAGGTGCTGGTGAAATTACAGGCACTTGGGACTTGTCAACTTATATCTCAGGGTGTCGGGCGCAGTGGCGGTGCCTCTGAGTGACACTGCAACTGTTAGGGACTGGCCTGACGCTTACCACCAGGCACACGACTTGTTCGTCCCGTCAATTAGAATTATTAAAATGTATATATATATAAGTTAGTATTTTTACTTAATTGGTTACAACACTATTAAAAAAATAGAGGAAGGATGTAACTGTTAACTTTTTATTTTGGAATTAACGCGAAAAATTATACTTGAAATGTCTTCTGTAATTTTGTATAATGTGCCAATAAAATTAATTTCCGTTAAAAACGCAAGAAGTTCATTGTTTCGTTGATTTCATTATAATATAAGTAATGTTTTTTTGTCTCTCTTATCTGTCAAAAATCTTAGCTTACAACGGTTACATGCATTGTGACAACTAGAGTACGCTAATGTCATCGAGTTTATAACCAGAAATAGAGACAAAATGTCATTTAATTTGTTTGAAAACTATTCTGCCAAATCATTACTGCGCTCCGATTGGCCAGCTCGAATTCGAAACAATTGACGGGTGTCGTCAATTGTTTCACTTCAAATCTAGCAGTTTAACTTGAGACTTGCTATAATGGACGACGATTGCAAAATTGCATGTTTAATATTTAATTGCCGATTAAATGTGATTCCGTTTGTTTTGTAATTAGATGTTTTGCTGTCTTTCCCACACCACGGAATGGAACAGCCTCCATTGTTAGAGATATTATATTTATTACAATAAATACAGAATATTTTGGAATATACGGAGACGTACACACAGGTCAGTTGTTGGCGCTGTACTTTTTCAGTTTTCTAATTTGTGATTTTAGAGCAAACAAGAGTTGATATTCAAAAGTGATGTAAGGTCCATTTACCTGATGAGTTGCCAACATTGACTTACAAATAAATGGACGACGGGTCTAATACATAAACCACGAAAAAAATGTCCCAAGTCAACCTATTCGAAATTTAAATTGTAATGTCGTCGCAGTATCGCGCTGTCAGTAGAACAAATGAAGACTAAAGCGGAGTGTCGCGCTCTGTATACGATTTTAGCGCCTTACAAGTGCGGACACTTTTTAGCGCGGACCCGACGTCCATATAATTGTAAGTCAATGGTTGCCAAGGATGGATGCCCGTTATTATGTCTCTATTTCTGTTTATATACTCGATGGCTAATATCAAAGATAAAATTTAATCTTCATACAAATCGACCGAAACCGACTGGCTAAGACACCATTGTATTTACGTCATAAATTTTACAATCTAAGTACCAATGGAATGAAACAACGAAATAAAGTCGTGGGGGATTAATGGCTTTGAACAACGGATATCTGATATTCAAAGCCTTTATTTTCCTTCCATTTCTTAATTTGACCAAAGGTTTTTTTTTCACATTTCCCAAATGAGGCAAGTTTTAAAAAATAAAATAATGTGTCCATGAGCAAAATACTCTATTTACAATATTTAAAGTACCTACTTTAAGACGCTGACAAGCGTCGATGACCTTGCATCGATGACCTTGAGCGATAACGCGCCTACTATAATTTCTCCAACAAGGTGGCGCCATACGCCCCGATGCGGTAAGAGTGTGATAGTTGGACCTTCCGCTTGATTTAACATGATATTGATTGCCGCTAACAGATGGCGTTGTACTTAACATACACACATGCCATCAAACCAAAAAATATCAAAGTATATAAGAACTGGACATGTTATGCAAACAAGAAACAACCCGCTCCTCGAGTGTAATTGAGTTATGTATTTAGGTAGAACACCAGACGTGTCCTTTACCCGCTCACAACAGATCCTGGCATACATACCAAGCTAAAACGGAGAAAATAAAAGTCCTTCAGCGTACCAACCCTAAATAAGTAACTTTTTAATAGCTAAAAAGAACCTTGCTGCTTAACTGCATATAATGTCTTTTTTTAAATATGCTAAACGGATCCATGTTACATGTACTGAAGTACTGTAGATCTTTGGCGTTTTCATTACGAAAACTAGAACATGGTTCATAATTCATAATTCATAATTCATTTAATCATTGCATGTGGTTTCACTGAGGTGTTAACAATTAAAATATTACAACACATGAACCCTGTAAGGGCACTAATGATTTTACCTTAATTACACTGCATGCTGTGTCATTCAATAATTCTATTCCTATACGCTAAATACAATATAAAAATCCAAATCTCAATAATTAAAATCATAAATGGTACAAATATAGTAAACTTAATTTGTTATATAATGCAATTCATAATTCATTCATTAATTTGATAAAACAATGAAAATATAAAAAGTGAATAATCTTAACGCATGTCTTAAATTATTATTATGTCAAAAACGTGCTAAAGAACAATTAATGATTTGTTAATAAGGAGTTGATAATGGAAGTCAGTCGTTATTAAAATATTATGTCATGCCATGTCAAATTGTAGTTTTTGTTTAAGTAGTCATTGAAAAATCATTCAAATTTTGATCATTCAAAAATTCATAAATTGTATAATAGGTTTTTTGTATTAGCAAATGTTTTAGTTTTTTTATAAAGGATGCTGTGTTTCGTTCTATTTTGATATTTTCCGGTATTTTGTTAAATATTTTAATTGACATAGCTAGGGGGCCGGATCCATACATTTCCATTTTGGATTTTGGCAAGATCAGTCTATTAGGGTATCTTGTGGGGAAGCGACGTTGTTGATCTCCCTCCCTTGTGTAAAAACTTGGATATCTTCTGACAAATTTGGCGGTTTCCAGGATATATATAGATGGCAGAGTTAGAATTTCTAAGCTCTTAAAATACGGTTTACAGCTATCGGTATTCTTTAAATGTTTTATAATTCTTATACATTTTTTCTGTAAAATTAATAATGAATCTACTTGTGAACTGTTCCCCCATACAATTACTCCATAGCTTAGCCATGCATAAGCATAAGCGTAATATGCTGTTATGGCGGTTTTTTCATTTGTGGATTTTTTAAGTTCCCAGAGTGCGTATGTAAATCTAGATAATTTCAGTGCTATCTTTTCTACATGGGCCTTCCAATTTATATTTGTATCTATGTCTATCCCTAACAACGTAAAATTATTGACACTTTCTATATTGATGTCTTTGTAGGTGAAGTCGATAGTCAATGGTGCTTTTTGGTACGGTCTGAACTGTATTATTTTTGTTTTTGAAAAATTTATTTCTAAATTATGGTCATTTAGCCAATTTACGACATCATCTAGTGCTACTTTTAAAGTTGTATTTAAATCTAAATCATCGCTATCTGAGTAAGGAGTGATGAGTGATATGTCATCTGCGAAAAGTACGCACGTCTGGTTTATTGATTTCGGCAGGTCATTTATATAAATTAAAAATAGAATACATCCGAGTACGGAGCCTTGTGGAATTGAATGATTAATTATTCTAGTGTCAGATGAAATATTAGAAATTTGTCCGGTTTTATGATCAAAATATTTTGTTTCTACTATATGTTGCCTGTTTTGTAGATATGATTTAAACCACTCATACGCAATACCCCTTATACCTACCGCATGTAATTTGTTCAATAAAATGTGATATTGTATTTTATCGTATGCTTTTGTCATGTCCAACAAAATACCTATCCCATATTTTTTATTATTTAATATATTAAGTGCTTCCTGTATATATTTAAAAATTGCTAGCATTGTCGAGCGATTCTTCCTGAAGCCGTTTTGATTTTCGTCGAATATTTTAAATTTCTCACAAAAAGGGTAGATACGGTTGTACATTGCCTTCTCGAATACTTTTGAGGAAGTTGGTAATAGTGCAATTGGTCTATAGTTGGTAGCTG